GAAGTCATGCGGTGCCTGTGACTTTATCATTTCTCAGCATCGCCAAGGAAATGACTCGTGCGTGTCACGCACGAGCGTCATTCCGCGTGTTCTCGTAAATAATTTTATTCAGGAATGATTGCGTGTCCAGTAGTCGAGCGAATAAATATATAAATAACATATAAGTAAATAGAACGTTAAGGCCATTGTAAGTATCAACGGTATTATTATTCCAAGATATATGTACATATATAATGACTTCTTTAAATAACAGCTTATATATATAATTTTTCCATAATAACAATGCATCTCAATCGGACGAAACTTTCCAATGTAAATTTTTGCCGTGATGCTAGCATTTTACCAAATGACCATTGTGACGGGTATAAAGCGACCTGATTATTCGTCATTAAAATAATTATATATATATATATATATATATATAATGTCTCTGTAATCTGTCCACGTGCATCAAACGTAAAAGAATTTTTCTTATGAAAGAATTAATTCGGTTGAGTTTTCGAAATGGTGAGAAAGTGGGAGGAAAATAAAGATAAAGAATGTCATAAGAACATTAATACGACGAATTTCCTTATATCCGGATCTTATCTGACACTGAAGTCGTTAATGGCCGCTCCTTTGAGGGATTCTTGCGGCATCCTCCATCACGTGAAACTCTCACAGCTACCAGGAATACCATGAATTAATTCTCTCTAGCCGAGGCTGCAAGCCCAACGGATAAATAAAGCAAGTGACATGTCCGAGTAATGTCGAGCGCGTACAGATAGGAGTAAGAAAGTCCAGTTCAAAAGAATGAAGGTAGAAAAAAATGCACGGAACGTCAGTAGGGATCGAGCGAAGTGGTTCGATTTCCGGTTTCGTCGGCGCGATTAAAATAAAGCGAACGAGTTAAAGGGACGAGGGCTTAGAAGCGAGCAAGAAAGAGTACAGTCTCATCCAAAGACTTTAATGACAGTCTTATAAAGTATTACGAAATATACATGTAGAAAGGACAGAAAAAGAGATCAATTTAAACTTTAAATATCAAACCCTTCGTTGTTATTACGCGAGGAGAATGTCAATAGAAGAGTTTAATTGAAATTATATGAAAATTCCGCCAGTAATCTTGGTAATGTTGCCTCTTGTAGTTCAAAGGTTACCCCCGTGTCTCGTAGTCGTGCCTTTTACCGTGTACTTACGTGTACATACATCATATACGATCTTATCGTAGACTTGTTACACGTACGTGGTTATGTCGACGATAGAACGCAGCTCGTAAAATAATTCTTCTAACACTGTACCCGCTGTCCTGTATAAAGGCATCGTAGATAGTCAGCGTAGAGTCGGACAAGGGTCCGTAGCATTGAGAGGCGCGTGATCGCACACAAGTGCATTGTAGAGAGGCGCGCGTTAGGCACGAGTACGACGCGAGCGCGTCGGCAATGAGGCGCGACGACGAAGGAGGATCGGGCGAGTTCGGTCATGTTCGGATAGGCCGATCTCAGACCCGTACCTTCGTGTATCGTCGTTCCCGATCGTTCGCGCTCGTCGGGCTTCGACTTAGTTCGTATCAGTCCTTCAACCGTTTCCGTCTCCCTTGGTAACGAGCAAACAACGTCGTTGTCCCGCTTCGGCGCGCCTCGCGCGTCCTCGCCCTTTTCCGTCACTCCTCGTGATCGTTCGCTACTTAAATCCTAAGAGTGCCTCGCAGTGGCAGTCAGCTCCGGACGTCAGCGCAGGCATGATTGTGGTTGTTGAGTTTTTTCTTTTCTTTCTTTAAACATGCTCTTTCTCTATCACTCTCTCTCTCTCTCTTCCTTTATTTACTTTTTATCTTTATTATAGCTCCTTGCTGTATAACGATACACGCGATGCGTGTACGCACTTGCCCGCGGTGTACATACGTACTCATACTTGGGCAATGGCGCGTGGTACGTATATGAGATATCGGGGCCGTGGGAACGGACGTCGCGGCGCTACTCGGCACGAGCGAGCGCAAACTCGCTCGTGCGATTTTCTATGAGAGGCTGAGAGACTGGGAGTGGTTGTGAGAGGGAAAAGGAATTGAGAGCTTGGTAACTGCTTGGATTGCTGAGCACGAGGAATGGCTCTTGGAAATGGTTTTTAATGTGTCCACGTGCCTTCCTGCTTCGGTTTTTACTATTATTGTTATTCTTTTTCTTAACTCTCGAAACAGACGCTGATATTATAAATTTATATATAGTTCAATTCGACGTTACTAATTTTCATATACTACGTGAAGAAATAATATTGGTACTGATCTTTTTTTGTTGTTATACGATACCCTGGGGGATGAGCTATTTGTTTATGGTATGGAATTCGCAAGTCATTTCGCAACTATTCGCGATTTTATGAACTGCACCTTATAGTATTTTTGGGAATACTGCGGAAATGATAAATTTAATGCAACGGATTTCTCACCTTTCCATTTATTTGTAACTCAACGTAAAAATCCATCTGTCAAAAAAAAATGTATTTACGTACGATATATTCGTGTCGACCATCTCGTGACGTCATGTGTCTGCATCCGCTGGCAGTAGCGAAATTCGAAAATCGCTCTGCAACCGGCACGATTATTTATGTCGAACGAGAAAAGCCCGTATAGATGATTACAATAAATTCTGTCAGGAGTCAAGGCGTGTATCCACCGAGCGAAACCGTAATCATCGTAATTACCAAAATCATCATTTGTGATTTACGAACTGCTGTTCTTGTCGATATTTATAATTCATTATGCTCACCGAAAGCTGTAAAACTGGTAGCAAACGAGTACATGCAATGAAGTTGAAATAAATAATAAATAGGCAATCAATTCAACACGTTGGTAAAACGAAAGCCGATTTCCTTATATGTAAGTAATCGATCGTCGTACAATGTAATAAAGTCTCTATCATATTTTGTTTTGGATGCGTATACTACACTGACATTCCCTTCGAGCAGCTAAGCTTAAAATGCTGGCCTAATGCTCGCTGGTCTGCAGGGTTGCATGCCTTTAGGGCAGTGGGCCACTGGGTGACCATCTGGCGGCGAAACGCTCAACTGCTCAGTGTTTTGGTTACCCGTTTGCGCGGGCTTTTTTCTACCTTTTCTTTCACCGCGCAGTATCGCTAATATTTTTTTTTGGGAAATTAGTTTTCTTCGAGTGATAATTAATATTTTTGTTTTACTATGGTTAACACTCTTTCGCGTATTATTTTAATTCTGTGCTATGCCAAAGATTCACTGGTCTTTTGGGGTCAAATTTGCATGTCAATTAGCGAAAATTACGAAAGGCCTTTTTTTTTATGTGGCGTCTGGATTTTTAAATGTTGCTTTACATTAGGTTCATTAACGTTTATCGTCGGCTTCGTTGCGTTCAACATTTTCACATTCAACACACAGCAATTTTTTAAATACTGTTATAACTTACAGAAATGCTACTGCGTGATGGGATTAAACGTTTTTTTTTTATTGGTCGCAAAAATGGCATTGACAAATAGGTATTTTTTTTTTTTTTTTATAAATGTAATTTGGTAATTTCTATATTCACACGTTTTATGTAGTACACCTAGCGTTACCTAATATTGTTTTTTTTTCCTATTATCAGCTGCAAATACGAATTTGAAAACTAATACTAACAATTAAAAAATTATTAATTTTCATCTCTACATTCAGTTGATTTATTTACAGATACGTTGTTACAGTTATTGCAAATATCGTTTTGTTAAATATGGACCTTTTTTAACACGACTATGTTCGTCGGGAATTCTCTGGGGAGAATGAAACCCGGTAAATAAAAACACTGTTATATTGTGTTAACCCTATCTGTAAAGAACCCATAAAATATTCACCCCTGGCCACTTTATTCTATTATCGGATGCGGACGGATGCGGCCAGTGCGGCTACTCTCGAATCTTTTATTATTTTGCCAGCCGCGGGGCTGCTCACCCCTACAGCCCCATGGAAAATCATGTGAGTTCACACACGGTCTAGTCGCCACCCCCTTTACCCCAACATGTGCTTGTCGCATATGGACAACACGTGTGCACAACTTTCCTCTATTCTTACGTGCATTTTTCGCATGCGCCTATCTTTTTGTTAGCTTCACCCGGCCATATTGCCTTTTTTTTCTGATTGATTTGGCATAGCATTTTTTCAAACATTTTTTTTGTACAGTATATTTTATTCAAACTAATGCTAAAGCTAAATTTTTTTGCACAATTTTCGGATACTCGCAGGATATGTAATATTTTTATTTCAAATAGAATATCATGCGTCTATCTCGTATAATATATTGTAATGATGATTAAAAGAAATATTGAAAAAGTCATGAATTTTTTTTTTATTTTAGGCGTTTTCTGGATCTTCTCGACTCGAATTCCTTAGGAAATGAGCTTCTTTCTCTGAAACGATGATGGTAGAAAATTTTTCCGAATTCCACAGGCCCGACGAATAGAATTTCAGTAAACAAGAAGGGAAAACTGTTGTCTGCGTTTGAACGTAGCTGCGTGCAACTTCTGGACTAAACATTTACAGCGTTCATCGGCCCTCGAGTTCTTAAGGGATCTTTCCCGATCCCCAAAACTCGGGATTTGAAAGGAACCCAAGGTTTTTTTTGTCCCGGTCTCACGGTCTGAACAGACCCTTTAAGCGGTGTAATACCTTTGTCGAGGTAGGTCGGTTATGAAATGAGAACGATTTTCGAAAGCTTGCAGGTGTAATGCCATTTTGAGCTTTTTTTTGAATTCCAGACTATTTAAGAATTTTACTATTTTTTTCCGGCTGTACAGGAAATATATAAAGTAAAAGTTTTTTTCTTAATATTTCTATATTATTTACTGATTACTTTATCGCATTTGTAGAAAATGAGACCCAACAGTACTCAGTGCATCGTTATACTGTTTAGATTTCACCCTTATCTCGCCCCTTAAATTCAAAGTTCCAAAGGATCATCAGGTAGGATATGGTAATTTGACTTATAAACAAGACACACAGTATATGTTTAATAATAAAATGTATTTATGAAAATTGGAAGACATTGGGACATTTATGGCAGCGTCGCCACAATTAAGTTAAAGCCATTATCACAATATAACGAACCTAAGCTACGTATCTGGTAGGTACGAATATCACATGTGCGATTAAGCTATCGCCAATAAAATAAAACCTATCAACAATCTGGCGGTTCACATAACCTCAAAATATCAATACTCCTAGTTCCTCGTGAAACCGAGGACAATTGAGCAACTATCAGTCGACGCGTTAGGCATTTATCATTAAAATAACCTAAATAATAGATCACAGTTTTTTCAAAGTATCTCTTAACTCTATCGATCTCCGCCTGCGCAGAAAAATCTCTGGCGCCAATCAGTTCGGCAGTAGGTAGTCCAATTCTTCCCCAAAGATAGGAACCCGTTCACAGGGGACGATACCGAACTGTCAACTGTATCTCTCTTGTTCACGATGTCCATCAGGATGTCCTTGATTCTTCCAGGACCTCGGACACCGTCCTTGCTATCGTATTCTCGAGTTTATACCCGATAATCAGGATCCAGATCAGCGATTCTCGATCCTTGCCCCGATGAGGTTGATGACGTAGTCCCTTGGTCCAGGGCTCAAGCGACCTGCATCTCGGGAAGTTGATTCTGCGAGAAGGCTCGTTCCTTGTAGCAGAGGTCGCTGTCGTCCAAGGAGAGGGTGGTCCAGTAAAAGTCACCGGCATGGGTATGAGCAAAGTGAACCGGAACGTAGCACTGTCCAGGTACCACAGGAACGACGGTCATCTGACCATCCAGACATACAGTGATGGCTGCACCCTCTTCGGCGTCCTGAAGGTCTGCCAGGAGTCTACGTTCCAGGGCCTCGTTGGCGTTGTTCTGATTGTCGACCTCCTCGGTGAAGACCTCAGCCTGGGGCACTGCCTTCTGCGACTTCTTCATCTGCCTGCTGATCGTGCTCTTCCTCAGGAGCCTCAGTAGCGGCTTCAGGATCTTGCGCACCCTGCGACTGCCAGGGTTCTTCTTCGCCGATAACTTCAGGTTGTACAGGTTGTCGTTCAGCTCGTTCTCCCACTCGGTCACGTGGCTAACGGTGGCGGCCATCTTGCTTGGTTATTGTAGGTCACAACTGAACTTCACTGATCTTCAATCGTCTTCGAAAGCTCCCTTTTTTCTCTATCGTCCGTATCTAGATATCTCTGTGTCTCTGTCTTTCTCTCTCTCGTATTGAGCCTCGTGTTTATGTAGGTTATGTACTGAGCGAGCAGTGGAGAGAGATGTTGGCCGATGGGGCGCTAGTGAGCGAATGATGCTTGAACGAGCTACCCTGGGACTTTTATAGCCACTCCGGAGTTCAGGACCACGTGGTGGGGAAGGCAGGTGCACTTTGGCTGTGGGAACTCAGGGAATTCGGAGCTTCCCACGTCGGGGTCCACGCCGACCATCTGCCGCTCTACGCCCTAACCTAACCCATCCAGCCTATGGCCACCCTAGCCCACCCCAACCATCGGAACCATCACGACCCTGCCACCCTCGCAGAGACCGACACCCCATTGCTTTTTCATCTTTTTCTTAGTTTTCATCGTCGTCTCTCTACGAGCCCTTCTTACCCCTCTAAGAACTCCGAGGCTGCCTCTACGCTTTTTGGATTAGAGTCCATCTATGGCCATGAGGATCTAAGGGTGCTTTTCTTTGGTGTTCCCAACTCGAGACGTGGGGGACCCCAACAAACGGAGATTGGAACCTGTTACGACACGTTCGTGGGGTTTCGGTTGGATTGAGGAACTCGGATTGGTACGGTAAGACTCCTTGTGGGGTTGCCTTCGATTTTATAGGGGTGCGCGTGGATTAATTTACTTTGGCTCACAGGGGTATCAGTTTCAGTACTATCGCTGATAGTAGTAAGAGTTGATAATTTTTTTTTGATACAGGTAACCACCTGGTACATTTTCACATATATCGTATTTAAAGCTATGACTGGTATCGGGAGATGTATTGTTTTTTTTACCTACCCCATATAAAAAAGGGTAATAATCATCCTCTATTAAAAATTATTTTTTTCATAGATTATTTTAATTTTGATAATTCATCCGAAAAACTCGTATATTTTTTCAATTTTTTAAAAATCTTATTCGTATCTTATGGAGTTTTCTGAAAATTTTTTTCTCAACTCCAGCTCGACCCTTCTTTGCGTAATGGTAGTCTCTACTTTATGGGATGCTGCTACCATGTCGTCTCGTATGTCCCCAAAACTTCGTCTTAAGGAAACCCGTAACGCTGTAACCTTTTACGATACGTTCATGGGATACCTACTCTTAAGCAGGAAACCCCGTAGGAAAAAATTACCTCGGTGGAATTCTACAGACCTTCGGTAGTTCAGGAATCCTTATTTCCCATCGAGAATTCATGGTATCCTTAGCACAGAGGAATAAGATAGGCCTGGGTCTATCTTATCTCGAGCTTCAAGTTTCACTTATCTGATTTTTCGTATCTTCATCGTGCATTAAATATATTGAAACATTTTTTTTAAATCTAGAAAAAAATATAAATCTAATCTGGAAAATCGATCAAAATTTATTTATCCCTCGCATACCTTATTAGGTCCTCTTCACTTGGATTCCTTGTAGCTTCTCAAATAAAGCGTCATTTTCGTCGTCCCCTTGATGACTGTACTCATTAGGGGATGTACTAAGACCAAATTTTTTGTAAACTTACACGACACCCCATAACTGATTTTCAACACATGTCAAGCACACGACAGCCCCATTTTATCTTCGGCAAAAAGTCCATGTTACTTTTTGTTCTTTTTTTTCTACCTCGCTCCTTTCACCGAGTACCTTTTTCTACAGGGGGCAGTTTTTCAACAACCTGTTCCAGAAGAGATTTCTTATGGCTCTCGGCATAACTCCCCCATTAGAATGTGATGAGACATTATCCAGGACACGTTGACCTGTAACCGTTATGGAGTACAAAATATATATAAAATTTCAATCGAGGGTAAAATTGAAATTTTTGAAATATTTGTAAAGCAGAACATCAATAAACGTAGATACTTTTATTTCCTTGAACCTGCTAATAGATGGCAGAACGTGCTCGTCAATAGTGAATTATTTAAATATTCAGATCAATGCACAAACACGATTCGTCGTGACCCTCTGAGGCTATTTAAGCGATGCACCTGAAGTAAGATCAGGTCTAGCAGGGAAACTGCTGATGGGGTCGCTGCGTGCGTTTGCCCCTGAGTGAGGCTCAGGTTGGGGTAAAATGAGGAGGGTTGCTCATAACCTCAGATAAATGAATAGGCAAAACCTTTCGGCTACAGGTAGGTCGTTTGTTTTTCTGTACTAGCCTCACCTGATCCAGCCTAGACCAACCTGACGAATCATTCCCCTCAGGTACACGACCAAGCGTAGGTACAGGTACTGTGTTATTTTCACTTGAACCTAACCTGTCTAGAGACGGCAGTCTGGTCAGTTGACTGAAGGCAGGTTTTCAGGTGAAAATCTCGAGAAAATCGTGTCTTCGTCTCGAGATCGTTTGGGAAAAAAATTTTTTTCGAAATTGTGAGAAATCAAATTGTGTAATCAAGAGCATCAAAATTCTACGAAAACACATAGGTATTCATTTTTCCCTCTTCACTCATTTTTCAATATACGGTATGATTACTTGTATTGATAAAAAAAGATTTTTAAAATATCTCAAAAATTACGTCATTATCGATGATTGCCAGTCAATTAATTTTTTTCGTAACTCCGAGCGACGTCTAATTAGGACTGTATCTAATTGGCCCAATTTGACACAGCTGTGTACCATTATACTTGAATCCAATAAATCGTAAAGGTATACTCGTGAGGTAGATAACAAGACACCCTATAGATTTATCATGTAATTTCCATGGAAATTGTTGTAAGCTGATATTTTCATGTATTTTCGTAGCCTCACGTGATCTTCGGTAACCGGTTCCCGAAGAGCCTATTATTCAGAAGCCCCCGTATACGTTGTACGAGGCGCCGTAGAAGATCGATAATTGCTTATTCCCATACTGGTATACGGAATCGGTATCGCAGTCAAGATTCTTTATGGTTTCATATTCATATACCCCAATGACGTACCATATTCGTTAATCGATTCTGTGCGTTAAACATGTTGGACGAATTCGAATTCGTAGACGATGGATTCCGCGACATGTCGCTCGCATTGAAAATCAAGATTCACGAGGCGTCCTGCGCACGCAGCAAACTGGTTTCTACTAGATTTCCCTAGTACGTTATATATTAATAATTCATATACTGAATATACATTACGCGTAAGTATACCGATCGTGTATCGGGTATACCGACCGAATATATCATTTAACCACAGGTTTATATATTTATAAGAAAAACAAAAATAGCCTGAAAATAATACTCGAGTCGTATACATATAAATATTCTCGTAACCTACGCATAAGTCCAGTTACCTTTCGAAACGATTAACGGACGCTAAGAAAACAACATGACTGGCTTAGTCGCGTCGCAAACTTAAATACATACGTTGATCTATTAACCAGTTCGTATAGTGTTTAACTAGCTGCCACCGTGGACGTGTAGTAATCTCCATTCTATAATGAAAAATATTTTCGTTCTAAGATTGGTATCGAGTGCCTCCAAAAGCGTTACAAATACTGTTGTACTCGTGAGACGTGTATTTCGGTGTAAGTTTACGTCAGCCGGTCCCAAGTCCGATGACGATTGACGCGTCGGTTCGGACAATTTTAATGAAAAATATTCAGGCGCGAACTCACGCGTTAACCGATTTTTATCGGTACGAGAATCACGTGAGCGGTAAAAGGAAAAAAAGGCAGGTCTATCAACCTCAGGATACAGGTATTCGTGAAGTCGCGTGTTCATTGCCGTTGCGTACGGTACTTTCGTTTTTAGTGTTGATTAACATACAAATAATGGACGTAGTACAGGGAGCAAATATGTTGGTAGTCAGTCGTGAAGGTGAAGGACGATTTCAAGATGGCCGACTGGAATAAAGGCATAGGAAAATTGCATGAAGATTTTACGTAGGCATGGAATGGGGATGGAGTGTGAGGATGGGTTGGGGGGAAAGGGCCGCGGGATTGAAGGAGGATGAGTGGTGTAACCTAACCTAAAACAGTAGTGGTGACCCCCGGGGCTGCGAAGCACAGGTCCAAACAAGAACTGCCTGACGTCATCGGCAGGTGCAACTTAACTGATTCTTCCTTTCTCTATAACCTCTGTATACCAATTTTGCCTTGGTACATTTTTTTTTCTTTTTTAACTTTTTTTTTTTCTTAACTCTCTTAGCATTCTACTCGGTACCTGCACTCCTGTTATTTACCTTTAATTCTCGTCTTTTTCTTTTGTATTTATCCGCAAGATACTCGCACGTTCGTAATCACTAAATTCCAATTGGATGGTTGAGAACGGATTTGCGTCGTATTTATTTTTTCTTTGGATCGAAACTTTGTTTCTTGGATCGTACCAAATATTTGTGAATTTCAATAGGGATTTGTTTATCGTATGATTTTTCGATTTTTTTTTCTTTTTTTTTTTTTTTGTAATAGTTAACAGTGATTTCGTCCTGATTTTTTGGTTTTGTCTAATAATGACGTAACCTTTTTGGTGGCCGTTAACCCTATAAAAAAATGTACCTATGTCAGGATGCACTTTTTTTTTTAACGTGGACAGCCCGCGGGTTCTCGTATAGTGACTTACCGAGGGTCGATGAGACACGACTTCGTGGTAGGAAAGGGCCGTAATAAATGAATGAAAAAAAAAAAGAATATTCAGGAGAAAAAGTACTTGTCGCTCGGAGCCAAAAATAGTTCCCTGCCTACCGTAGTCGTTTTTTCGTTCCTGTAATCGTTTTCGGCAGGTAGCCGGAGAGCCTCAGGTTTTGGATAAAGATCTTGGTAATTTGAATTTTATCTCTTGTTCCAGGTTCCCCTTTATTTCTTGGCTCTATCTTGCCCTCTCTCTTTCTCTCTCTGTCTTTACCTTTTCTACCGAGACTGCTACTCTCTCTCTCCCTCTCTCTTCGTTCTATCGAGGCCCTCGGGAAAGGGGTGAATTTACGAGTAGTCCTGGTCTATTATATTTTTTATGCTTATTAAATATTTTTTACGCCCACCCTTCGTTATATGAATTTTTGGTTATTAGGTGGGGCCCGGCCGCGTAATTGGCCGGAATTGCTTTTCAAATCGACTACGCCTCCTCCTCAAATTCTAACGAGTATTTTACGGCTCTCTGAAGTGTTACGTAAACGCGTCGGGTCTCTCCGGGGATTCCCTTTTTAAAAATTTTTTTTTTTTTTTTTTTTTTTTTTTTTGAAATACCCAGCATGACTTTTTTTCGATGATTTCACGTAAACGTCGTGGTTCAGTGTTTATCGTAGCTACTCGCTGAAAGGGTGGTATTTTCAATTACTTTTAATTTAATTCTTGCGGGACTCTTGAATTATCAATATCTCCGGAATTCTGTCATAGACACGCATCAAATATTCTTATGAACTTTTTAATAATTTTTACTGCTTCGTTTATTAGTTTTTTTTTGTTTTTGTTTTTTTTTAGAAATTTCCTGCACCCATCTGGAAATTCTCTCGTGAACGAGGTAAGACATTTTGATAATATTCTGCAACGCGCGAGAACGATAATACGGAATTATTCTATATATTCAGTACTTGTACGTTAGAAATTTTTGAAATGACTCGTCCATTTTTTTTTTTTTCGAAGGCACAATAAATTTTTGTACTGTTCGTTTCTGTGTCCAGAAAACGAAAACGAAAGTAGATCGGTAAAATACGAAGAAAAAGGTGAATAACAGCACGTGAGAAGGTGGGG